CAGCAGAACTTCTTTAAAGTTGTTATCAACATCTGCAAACCAACAACTAATGGCCCCTTTAAAGTGACAGGGGTTGCTCACAAAGAAACAACAAATGCTTGAAATTCTGGATGACCGGATTTGCTCAGTCGTTAGGCCTGAACTGACTGTTCTTTCCCCTCTATAAATCGACCCCAATGTTGCAAAGCAAAGGAAGCTTTCAGATTGCATCACACATGCAAAAAGAAAAAAAAAATGCTCCTACGTTTTATTACATTCTGTCTTACAGCCAAATCATTCAACTGATTCTCCAATCTGGACATGCCAAAGAAAACCTGCTGTCTGATTCATGGCTGTTCCCATCACTGTCAGGAAGCACTGGGGTAAGCCTTGTGTCAGATAAACATTCACGTGTATCTGCTTCAGACACGCAACAGCACAGGTGTAGTAACTAGAGAGAGCCTGAGAAAAGAAGGTGTTGGTAGGACACCCAGAGATAACCACTGCTTTCCAAAATACAATTAATAAGGTCAGAGCAGACACGGGCTTCAGAATCTCGACTCCTTTTCCTGCTCAGCTTTGCAATTTTATTTATAGCAGAACTATTTCCTGAGAACAAATATCTGAAATACCATTCATTTATGAGGCAGAAAAAATCAGGCAGAGGTTTACAGTATTGTAGACATGCCAAACAATTTAATTTAGCAATTTAAATGGATGTCTGCAGATACGAACAATATTTTCAATATAATAAACAGGATAAGCAGAAAACCTCTGATTAAGCCACTGCCTGTCATTCAGATAGCTCAGTCTCCAAGACCACAAGGCAGGTTTTGCTCTTTCTCTTTCTGATTGCACTGATGTCAGCCTGAGACCAGAATTTGGCCTTGTATCCCACACAAGTTGCTAAATATGGGCTCTGTATTGTATGGTGCCCAGTACTCTGCTTTTAGCCTATTAAGACATTTCCAGGTTTCCAGAGACTGCCGATCCCATTGAGCCTTGGCACAAACTGCTTTCCTGGTCTAGCGTAGTACTGTTCAGGGACATTACAGAACTGAGTCCCCTGTGTCTCTGTCAGACACAGGTCTACAGTTTCTTTCATAAAAGTTGCAAGACTTGACCTACCTGGAAGATCATTTTTGCTCTACTTTGATAGAGGTAGAGTCTCCTGAGTGGGGGAGAGTCTGCCTTGAAAGCAGGTAAGCTTTAAAGACTCCGAGTCAGCTTTGAGCTCCAGAAGTGAAAAGGGGTATCATAGAATCATAGACTGTCAAAATAGTGCAAATGACCAGATATTCTTTATTTTTGGGGGGTATATAGCCAACTTGGTACCTTTCCTGCCTCAGACACACCTTTACAGGTTGTTACACTTTAGAAGGTCAACATAAAAGATCCCTGGGGCTAGAATCTGGCTAACTGAAGTTGCCAGGCATGAATTGCCTACAAAAACCTTGGGGACTTAACATGTGCTGAAGACAATGCACAGTTCACCCAGAAAAAGCATCACTGGGTTCGATCCAACACAATTAAGCAACACTGTATACAGCACTGTCTGTTGAAAACTAAGTTAACAGGGAACCTGTTTTTTTTGTTACTGTAATAAATTCCATCTCTCACCAAGACACTGAGGAAAACCTATGCCAGTACTGCCACAGCCTTGCATTCTAATAGCTTTCTTCCATGCAGGATGACGTTCAACAATATTCATGCAAATATACACAGTGAAGCAATTATATACTGATGAGAGATGTGCTCCACTGGCAAAGGGAATTTTCAGTACTTCTGAGTACTGAAGCATCTGGCATCCAGCCCCACAATGCTCTCCTGCATACACATGGGAAGACACAGGCATGCATCAACCATGCATCAAGTACAGTGTATAAAAATATACAATGCTTTTACTGTTCTTTCCTTTGTTTTTTAAAGAAAAGGCATCTGCTTAAGTGTGTGTGGAGTGTATGAAAGCCCTTACTAAAATTCCCATACTGGAATGTCATGCTGATGGTAACAAGCACACAGCAATAGAGTAGGTAAGAGGAACTGAGCAGTGACAGAGCACAAGGTAGAAAAATGCAAGGACATTTCCTGAAAGCTGTGCTCACTGATAACAAAGTTTGTGTCAGTCAGGGAGAAATCACTTGAGCAGGAAAGCGAGAGTGAGAATGTGTATCTGTGGTAAAAGGAAGACATTTTACAGGCTGGTGTGCATCTGATTTTCCCAGTTGTACTAAACGAAATATAAACTAGAATGGTATGAAGATACGCAATCCACGAAATTGCCTGCCAGTGTCCTTCCACCATTCATTTTGTACCACACAAGCTAGCTATCAATCTAGTGACTGGATCTTTACACTTGCATTAGCCCTACGAGTGAACACTCCTGCCTGTAGATGGGGCAGATTTTTCGTCTGCCAGAAGCTATCTCTCACCTTCAGGATAAAAACATTTTTATCCATTTTATCTTGAACATTAATCACATTTTGCCTAGAATTCCTAAGTAACTGAGTTTGTGAAATGTATGCACTTCTCACAAGTCCTCACCGTTGCTTTCACAGGAGAAGCCTCTGCATTATTATCATGAGATTACGATAGCAGCTTCGGGGCAGCTTTCCTGAGTGTTAGCCATTTGGCCAGAGTGCACAGATATCCCTGCAACCATTATGGTGTGAACAGGACATTCTTTGTCCTGTCCACATTTGAGATGAAGCAAAAACTGTCAAATGCTGACAGTTGTCTGTTGCTGCTCTGCTCAGCTCAAGATAGAGATTCGTGCTGTCTAGGAAGCCTCTAACCAAAGGGATCAGGACAAACGCAGCAGAGGCAAGATTCTACCCCAACACTTGATGCTTCTATGACTGTGCATTCGGTGGAAATAGCTGCTGTTCACAAGGCCACTACATTTGCAAAACCAGGGCTCTAAGGTGAATGGGAAGTGACCTTCAAACTGAAAGGGGATTTTTGCAATGCATTATCAAACAAAATCAGTCCATTAAATTCACACTTTGCTAATGGGCAGAGGGAAGCAGAACATCACCCACAGAATCTGCTGATTTCACTATTCCACAGTGAAAAATCCTGTAATTCCTCTATTTAATATAATTTTTAAAAATAAAGCAAAAGGCAAGAAATTAGTGGAGGTATCTAGTGCTCCTAGAGTCGGCAGACAGGATTCTTTCCCCTTACCTGAGAGAAGCCCGCTGCTTCTTCTCAGAGCTTCTTACTTCTTCATTAGCTTTGCTTTCAGCTCTCTGCCTGGCACTCTGCAAATCTGCCAACAAGAGTAAGCACGTTATTCTTGCATTACTGTCCTTGCTGATCAGCACACCTTACACGCTACATTGCAAAACCTTTTTTCTTGTCAGTAGATGAAGATGTGAGGCATCATTCTGTGTAACCTTCTCTAAAGTGCTTTTGTCCACATGGCAGATTTTAAGCAGATGTAACCTCAACTGTAGGACTTTTATCAGCATTAGGCTGCAAGCCCTGTGCCAGGTTAGATGGAGCCACATTCACACCGATAACTTTGTCCCTCACTGGGGCTGGGCAGTGTGCAGCTTGATGCTATACTAATGCATCACAGAGCTCCCAAGCAGTGCACGTTTGCTTACGTCTGCACTTGAATGAGCGGATATATATATTAAAACTGAGGTAACAAGGCCCTCTGAATAAAATGCCCACATTTTCTACCAAAGTACTAGTTTAAATACTTTGAAGTATTTGAGTTCTGTACTACTTTACCTACTGAAGTAATTATGTTGATACAACTATTAGAGTGAATATAAGGTGACTAAACCATCCGAGTATAAGCTATTTTATAATGGCAGACTCTGCCAGTACAGAAAAATGCGCAATTTTTATGCATAGATTCATAAAGGTTACTTATTCTTAATTGTTTATTCTTATGCAGCAGCAGTGATAGCTATAAGCTTGCAAAAAACATTTTATACTCCTACACATGTTTCCACACAAACTGAGCACAGTAATATCAGCAGAGTCAAACTGATACAAGTCTTAAATCTGTCTTGCAGTACTCAATTACATAACATATGGGTTATTGGTGCTTCCAAAAAGAAACAATCAGTCAGGAGAGGGAACCTTAAATTGCTTTAGAAAGGAGGGTAGGCAATTTTGCACCCAAGATCATAAAGTAGGTTCATGGAGTTTAAAACACTCACATAATTATTTGCCTTTAAGTATATATTCATTTCTGTCAACAAAATAACAAAGATGGATTTTTAAGGGATTCTTGATTTTTTTTGTATTGTTTTTCCAATGGCTGATCGCACATCCTTACCAGCATGATTTAACAAGAGACTCTTTTTCTTCTGGCTGCCATCTGGTGCCACAGTAAGTTTCACTCGCAGAGTTTTGCTGGAACTAGGAGAATGGTTTACTGATGCATCAACTACCTCATAGATGGTATGAAGCAAGCTGGTAATATCCTATAGTTGGATTGAAACAGAAAAAGACACACTATTGTGAAAATGCTGAAATATCCTCAGAAGTCACTGAATTCAAGAGCAGAACTTACACAGAACCTTACAATCTTCACCAAATGGTGTAAGATTTATGAAATGGGGCAAACCAGTTGAAAACAATAACAACAGCACAAGGTATTTAGGTTTCCCAAACTGAATCAGCAAAACTGCGCTCTCCTTTAAACTTTCTTCGATTTCAACAGAACCCAGGGATAACCACTCATACCACACTAAAAATTGAAGTTCACATGACCAATTGAGCAGTAATTGAAGAAAATCCTGTAAATGAGAATCTTACTATTTCTTGGGATAGTTAAATGGTTGATTATATGGAGGAATACCAGTACAAGAAGTGGCAGAACTGTAAACCTCAGGTTTGGAAAAAAATGATGTCTGAATGCCACGTGCATTTTGGGGTCTAGTTTATTTGGCAAAATTCAAGCCACTTCTAAACTACGTTTCTGAACAGAAGAGATTATCCATTCAGGGCTATTACACAACATTTTTCACATATCTCTTTGAAGGCAATGGGACATGAACAAATGCTTACACATCTGGAGACTATAAAGATCCCATTCAATGCATATCTGAGAATTTCTCCATGCTGGCCTTCCTATTCCTTGATCTACCCTAGTACCTAAGCTCTTTCCAGACGTCTGTGAGCACAAAGGAAATATCTAAATCATCCTTTGTTAAGTATACCTGGTTCTGAAGATTAAGAGTCAGGTGTATAAAAATTCAAAAACTCTATAGAGTTTTTACCTCTGCCCAGGGGTCACGCCCATAACAATGGCAGCTGGAAGTTTAGTATGCACTAATGGGTCCTAGCACTTTAGTGCCACACAGTCCTCATTATCTAATCAGCTTTAAAGGTGGCACAGAAATACTGATTTCTACTCACACAGAATTTAGGGAAATGGCCAGGACAAATGATTTTACAGAAAATAATTTTCCATCTCAATAGCCAGAATGAATAACTAAATCCTAGAGGGTCCAGACTTTGTTTTAATGTGCAGCCTCTCTAAAGTTTTTGCACTCAGTGGAATTTCTCTAGGCTTTTGAGTTCAAGACAATATATTCATAAAAAGAGAGCAGATTTTGAAACCTCTCTTGTATTTCCCCACTGATATTTTTTCTGCCATGGCTGCAAAGATCTATGACAGTAGCTGTTTTCCATCCTCTTGACAAGAACCACGGTTTAAAGCTTGAATGAGGGGAAAACTGCACAGTGACAGTCTGGCCGACACCTCATAGCTCTTTAACACATCTCACTTCTCACACTTCCACCCTTATTTGAAACCTAGCCAGACCTCTAAAGAGACACAGCCAGCTTGAAGAGCTGGATTTTTTACTTCATTTATGAGAAAAACCCAACAAAGCAAGAACATAGACTGATAAAAAAAATACATCTGTTGTTTTATACACCCTCCATAAATTATGTTTTAGAAGCACTGTGCTATAATCCTACACCTCGATAAGCCAAACCTTCTCTTTCAGCAGAATCCTTAAACACTATATTTATTCTTAACAGGGCTTCATACGCTCAGCACTTTGGAGAATGGAGTCCTTCCCATACATTCCTTAACAAGTGTTGGTTAGCCAACATGGCATGTTTTCACACAAGGCCACTATCAAGAGGTTATTATCAACTCTTTCATTCACAATGATCTGTGCCCCTTCCTTTTTTCAGCTATGCCAGATGTTTGTACAAGCTGATCATCTAGTCTATTTTAACTTCAATAGGTAAAGCCAAGAAGTTGTTACTTCCACTGCTCTTTTACTGATTTTTTTCCATGATGAGTTTAACTTGCTAACTGGCATACAATCTGCTCCTTGTCTTCTGTGAGGGTCTTTCTCAACAGGCCGCTTGACTCAGCAGTTTAAAAAGTATTCCCAAATGCTGGCAAGGAAGGCTAGAGGCAGCATTTGTGGGACACATACTTGGCAAATCAGAAATATGTGCACACACATATCACACCAGGACAATTTATGTCTCTGAGCCAAACAGGCCCAAATTAACCCAAATTAATGTCCATGCTCCAAGCAGTTCAAGAGGCTGCACAGAGGTATCAGGATATGGTGTTGCTTTATACTCCTCTGCCTTTGCATTTCGTTACATGTTTAATACCCAGCTTCCTCCAGGACGATCTGAGCTGCTGTGCATTCTGGCACTAAACGAACGTGGTTGTCAGACTGGATATACACCAAGATGAGGGATATCCATAAGTAACCGCATAATGCTTATGCTGATCTTTTAAATACCGACAACAACATTTTTATTATAGGATTCATTCATTTACTTGTGGTCCTAATTCGGGGTCAGCACTTCTAGTAAAGTGGCAGGTCCGATTTGGTCCAGCAAGTCTGCTTGGGTCATTCATTACTCTGTCATCTACCAAGGTCCTGGCCAAGTAGGTACCAGCTACAAGGCAGCTTGAACCTCTTGTTGCTTTCCAGTTACTGCTTCACAATTATAATATATAAATTCCTGAGGCACTGATCTGGGTAGGAATAATTTTCATCAATGAGTTTTGAACTGTGACCCACACTACCTTATCACAGCGCTTTCTTGGCATGTAATATGCTAACGGCTTATTGCCAAATTAGTCTCAGTAGACCATTAAAATATATGTTACAAAATTTGTATTTTATAGTTATGTCTGTATTTACCCCAAAAGAACTTTCATCTTCCAGTAGTGTGCCAGGAGATAAAATCAATTTAGGCTCCCCTTGAAAGGTGTACAACTGAACCTTACCTGTACTTAAATTCCTTACAGAACTGCCTAAAACCACTGGACAGCTTTACCTTCTACACACCAGTTTATGTATTTCATTGTCCTCAAGAAATTCAGCATCAAAGATCAAGAACAAAAGCTAGTTAAATTTTCCTCTTTTCTGGCACACCAACCAGCATGTCTCAGAGACCACCTACCAAAGAATCTAACCTTTCTTGACAATGGATTATCATTTTTACTAGTGACATGATTTTATAACTGCTTTGCTTAAGACTGCTTGGCATTTCTTGCACAAAAAATTTCATCCCATGTCTCTCAAACTTCCTCCCTTTTTACACGAAAAATAAACAATTTTTCAGTGTTTCCCATTTTTCCAAGAATGTAATTTCCTTGGTTTTTTTTTACTGAAATGTACTTTTAAACCATTTCTAGTTTAAAATCATTATGGATTTTTAAACTAGTATATTAAATGGGTAAAGAGAAATAAGAAAAAACCCACAACATACAAGTATTCTTTCCTTCATAGCAAACAGATTATATTTAGTGGGGACATAGGCTGCACTAATCTACCTGCTGAAGGGCTTCTGGTGTGTAGAATCTCTGCCGGGACAGCTAGTTTAATGAGGTAGGAAAACTGAAACCATGGTATTCTTCCTCAAAGCGGAAAAGAAATGCATGAAGGGTAGCATCCAATCAGCCAGCACATGCCCTACCCAGATTTGTGTCTTGCTTATTGAAGACTACAGCTGGTTTTTCCAGGGCTGAAGGATTTAACAGTGTTAATCTGTATGTCTTTCACATCCTATTTTATCAAGCAGCCAATACATCAAAGTATATTAAAAAGAGAAACTTTAATAGATTGCCAGAAATACTTGCATTAGAAATATTCCAAAGTGAACAGTTAAGGCTGCACATGTACGCTGCACTCACACATGGATCTGCAGAACACTTTACAGACCTCCAGTAGATTAGAAGGAATTTAGAACATACAGAGAAACTAATGGGACTGCAAAGAAGAGCAAGAGAAAATTACATTGACCTGTTCTTCATTTCTTACAGAACTCATGTGACTGAGAAAGTCCCTATTCCAGGTACTAATTTTTTACTTCTAGGGAACATTAGCTGCACAGGCATGATCCTGTTTTTCCAGTATTAGTGTAGTTTATCATCATAGGACTAGTTAGCAAAATAAGAGATTCTGTAAAAGAAGCTAAGAGGCTTTTCCAGCAGAATTAATTCAACAGAATAATTGCACACAATCCTCCCTCGAAAATAAAA